TGACGCTTCCCTAGCCAGGCATACTTCCATACTGCTACATTCACAACAACCAGAAGTAGCGTCTCCTGGTGCTGGGTCACTTCCTGTTATTGAGAGTCTACGCAAGTGCCAGCCTTGTCTTTCGCTGATGTGGAGGAAATCACAGCGGTGAATTCTTGAACCAATAAACTTGAGAAAGGATAAAAGTTCTTCCACGAAGAATATATCTGTAGATGAACAGATGCTGAGATATATTCATCAATTAAAACGGATTCTTCATTTTTCTGGACTGAATAAAACGTGCATTGAATTTAATGAAATGTAAACGTGAGACGTCATTTATCTTTGACCCATCAAAATGAATGTGGTCATTTATTTTACAGAATCAAAGTTTAACATCAAACATTTACATTAATTTGGCAAAATATGAAAATAACATAATTAACAGCTTTACAGGTAGTGAGAAACAATGCGGCGATTGTTTCCACTCTTCAGCAGAACAGCAGACATCAATGAAAACTGTACAATTATGATCAATTATCCACACGGCGGTGGATGAGCACTTTACACAGACATTTCTAAATTATCTGGAAGGATTTCTACTTGAGAGAAGAATTTAAAGATGGAAATGAAGTTTAAAGGGAGTAAAAGATGGTGTGTGAGGGGAAGTGTTGACCAGAACCGACACTCTCCATTAGAACCCAGCTTTTCCTCGGTACGCTTTGGTAGGAAACTTGACTCATTACCTTTCTGAAGATAAATCAGCAGATATGGAGGTCCAGTTAACGCTACCTGTCCAGCGTCTCCATAGGATGGCTGTGACTCGTCCGAAGTAGTGACGAGATTCCGTCCGACACCAGCTCACCTCAGCAAGTGGACTTCACATAAGTGGAGTCCTTCAGAAGTTCCACTCAGAGGTGGAAGATGTTATAATCCAACTCGAAGAGCCTTATCATGGCTGGACTTCTGTTCTCCCAAACGACTTCACAGAACTGCGAACATCTCAGAACTTCTCCGCGCCGCCGAACTGCTCAGACTCTGAGAGAACTAGGAAGTACCGGCATTTTAAAGAGCTCTATTCCCGGTTCATTTGGGCGTCCCTGATTGGTCCATATCAACCAGACAGGGGTGTGTTTTGTGATGTAAGAGGTTACTAGAAGTCAGAAAACAGCAAGAATTGTTATGGAACAGATTAAACTGTTCTCAGAGACAGAGAGAGTTTTGTTTTGGCGAGTTTTAGAAACGGGTGCCAACTCCTCCGTTGACGTCTGAGAGGATGTAAACAAGACAGTTGTTCCAACACATGTCTGCTTCGACTCCTGACCTTGGAAAACGCACACTTGCTCATTCAAAGACAGAAATCAGAAAATGCATAAAAATCTGTAACAGGCCTTAACATGAATTCTAACTTTGCATGAGAAATAAAAATCATTACACTGTTTCACAGTTAATAAAATTGATTAGTTCACTGCAACATCTAAAATGGTTTGAACTAAGACACTTTGATTATCAACATTTGTAAAATAGTAATGATAATAAAAAAGAGAGTGTTCTTTCACTTGATTTTTCAAGAAGGAAAGTCTCAGGATGGGTGAACCTGTATTTCTGGATTCAAATCAATGAAATGACAGTTTCTGTCCCACAAGGTTCTTAAGGTCAAGGGTTTTGACCTTAGGCTTAGTTTTGACATCAGGTTAAGTTCACTACATATCCACAGCTATCAAGGTAAGAAAAGATGTAGCTTAG